AAGCATTTTTGCATCATTATCATACAAAATTATAACTTTGGTAGGAAAATTTTTAACTTTGAATCCTCGAATAAGGAAAAATTTTCATGATGAAAAAATTTTTTTGCGAGGAAAACATTCCAAATTTTAAAGTTGTGAAGCCTTTTGAATGAGCATTTTCAATGTTGAGAATGATTTGTAAGACCTCCAGCATAATTTCTAAGAAATTTCAAATGAGAATATTTGAATTTTAAATGAGAATCTTGAAAATTTTTTTATGTGAATCCCCAAAGTTTTGAATAAGAATCTTTGAAATTTGGATGAAATCATGGAATTTTTAAATGAGAACCTTTGAAATATTGGATGTGAAACACTAAAGTTTTTTTTTTTTTTTTAATGAGAATCTTTGAAATTTTGGTTATGAGTCCCTAGAAGTTTTTTGAATGAAAATTTTTAAAATATTGGATGTGAATCACTAAAGTTTTTCAAATGAGGATATTTGAAATTTTGAATGTGAACCTTTAAAATTTTTTAATGTGAATATTTGAATTTTGGATATGAATCTCTCAAATATCCATATTTAAATTTTATGAATCTTCAATTTTTATAAATTGACAAATCTTGCAAATATTCCATTCTTGTGAATTTGAGTTCTTGTGAATCTAAAATTCTTGTAAACCTTCCATTCTTGCGAATCTTAAATCATGTTAATCTAAAAATCTTAAGAACTTGAGTTTTTTACGAATCTAAAAATCTTTTGAACCTAAGTTTTGTGAATCTTTTAAAACTTTGTGAATCTTTAAATTTTGAAACCGTGATTCTTTGAACTCAAATTTTGAATCTTTAAGTTTCAACCTATATTATGAATTTTCGATTATGAAATTTTTGAGTACTTCAAATTATGAATTTTTGAAGTTAGAAAATTTGTAGTTGTTGTGAAGCCAAACTCGTACATATTGAATGTCTATATCTTTGTGCAATTTCTGTTTCATAGTTTCGACGGGTGTTCTACCTCAGTGTCTTTGGCCATCTAAACTTGGGATCCCTTTCAATTTGCATAAGAATCCTCTTTTTATAGGTATTCAATGCAATGTAGCTTCATTGCCAACTTGGGCTCTTGGCCCTAAGGTACCCATGTTTTCTCTCTTTTGGGGGAAGAACGTAGATTTTCTTGCCTTTCTTTCGATCGAGAAAGAGGGATGAGCTTTTCTCACTTCGGTTGCTAATGATGGGAGATGAGCCTCTCACCTTGGTTTTTTATTTTAACTTCCACGTTGATATATTTTTTCATGACAAGTAGGATGTTGGCTAATGTCATTGGCAATTTAAAAGAAAATTTAAGTTTCAGGTGGTACTCTTTGTCGTTGAGTTCACTAGTGATGGTTGTTGCTATTGCAATCGTTTGTTCTAGGTTTTTCAATTATAAAGTTTTCGTGTTAAAATGAGTAACATAATCTTTTAGAAACTCATTTCTACCTTAATGGACAGATGTAGACACCTAATTTTGTCTGATGTCATTTGAAATTGTTTTAAGTCCCGATTGTGGAGGGCTATGAACTAGTCTATTCCTTGGTGAATTTGTTTATGATTTGGGCATCTTAAATCAAAAGCTTAATGAGTTAATTTTGGTTTAGTTTATTTTTATCTTATTAAAATTTGGAAAATAAATTAGATAAATGAAACTATATTTTAGGGATAAATATCAAGTGAAGATGGGTTTAAATTAGAGTATGATTGAAATAAAATTCTTATAAGATAAATTTTTTTTGAAGCAATCTATATCTCATTCACTATCTATATAAACATGTTTAACTCAGCACAAAGAGGAATTACACAGAAAAATCAGTGAACAAAAAAAAGTAATACACAGAGAAAATAATAGGCAGCCTACCATTGTTATATTCACCATAATCACCCTTTCCAATCCACCAAAAGGAAAGCAATCGGCCACAGAAGTGCCACTTTCTCTTGTCTCCAAGCCACAACTACCTCCAAGCCACAACTTCACCATCCCTTCTACCGGAACATCCCGTTTCAGTTGAAACCATTCATTTACAGATATATTGCCAGCATCATAGATAGAAGCCTACCATCGTTCCTAATTTTATCAACCAATGAGCAAGAAAACAAGAGAAAATTTAAGCACAAAACCAGTCCTCAAAAAGCCAAACCCAGTTTCATCATCTTACTACCATCCCAAGGTGCTTGCCCAACGGCCACCCAAATAACACAGCACAGTGCATGAAAAGCAATAACAAAGCACCATTCCCCACATCACCGTCGAGACTCACCCAACCATGTTGAATTCCTAGAAAAAAATACATAATGAATTGTTAGGTGATCAAGATATTATCCAATCTTTCCAACAATCAACTGTAAGCACAAAAAAAAAAGAGTCTCGATAATGAGTTGATCTTTTGATTTTCTGGCCAAGAGTTTATGGGATTTTTATTCTGGGATTTTTAAACAAAAAAAAAGACGAGAGGAATAAGTTTTGGATTAGACCAGGCAATAACAGCAGTAGTGGCCGACGTCAGTAACAACCCACGGGGACTTCAATTTTTGAAGATAAAAATAGGTGAAAATACAGAGTAAAGGAAGTTAATAACATATTGTAATTCAGCCAAATCGAATGACGGGAAGACATTGAAACGGTGGAGAAAAACCATAACTTTTAGCTTTAGATCCGAGGCATTTAAGGTGAATTTTTGAACAATTGAACCCATATTTGAGACGAAGAGGTTGACAAGGGTTGATGGTGAAAATTGTGGCTTGATTGGGCACTAGATGGCAGTGGAGTACGACAATTAAAGGCAGAATTGTGATTGAAAATGACAATCAGAAATCATGGGAGAGAGAGAAAAAGATTAGAGAGAATCTGAAAAGAGAGAGAGAAGAGAAGAAAAAAGGAAAAATTTTGATTTTTTGTGGTTATTTATACCTTAAGCAAAACGACATCATTTTGCTTTATGAACAGTGAATTAAGTTAAACCATAGCTGAACTGAGCCAAACCGTCTCCTAAGCCATTCCAGCTAGTTCTCGTATCTTCAGTCGAGCCATGATATCAGCCAAGCCGAACTGACTTTTTATTTTGATATTTTCTTTTCATGTTTATTTATTTATTTATTTGTTTATGATTAAATTTCTAAGATAATTAGAAGAAGTTATTTTAGAATTTATAATTATAAAAAATATAAAATAAAACTTTAATAAATTTTAGAAATAAATTAAAAATTATTTAATGATGACATTTTTAAAAATTTTAAATGAAAAATTTTTTTAAAACTTTTTAGGTTAGAAATTTGTTTTTAAATTTGACTCAAATGATGGAATAATTTAGATGAAGTTTTAATAAAGAGTAAATGTATTTTTTTTAAATTAAAAATAAAAATATAACAAAAATAATTATCATATTATTTTTTTCTAAGAATTAAGAAACAAAAGACAAATAATAAGAGTTTAGATTCTAAATTTAACCTAAATGATAGAAAATTTAGAAATGAAACTTATAAGATAAAAAATTAAAAATATAAATTTTGAGAATAAAATTCTTAGTAATCACAAGTGGATGATTATCAAAGATATTTTTAGGTGAGAAAATAATTCTAATTATGCCCAAATAGTGGACGAATTAGATATAATTTTAATAACATAAAATTTAATAAAAAAATAATTAAGTTTTTCGATGACAGAACCTCTTCAAGAAAAAAAATAAGATTCTTGAATACTCTTAAAATAGTAAAATATTTTTAAGGATTCTGTCAGATCGATGGAGAAGTCTTGAAAATTATTTTCAATATTTAAACATTAAAATAAAGACCATTAGAACCAAGTTAATTGTTAGGATAGTTTAAAATTAAATGGTATCGTATTTAATGATGGGCATTATAGGGGTGTATAACATTTCTTACATGTAACAGAACTCCTGAACCTAGTTTGTTCAGAAGGTTAGAATTTAATTTTTAAAGACTTTTAAGATTTTTTTAAAAGGATAGATTCATTAGGTGATCAATTACATCTTAATAAAATATTGGTGACGACTTTTCTTATTGTGTCTAATTATAAGTCTACGAATCTATACGTTATGACAATAGGCATCAAGCTTAAGGTAGTCTTTTTAATTCTTCAACTACTGAGAAATTTAGACAAAAATAAATGGTTGAGCTCTTTGCAAATAATAATGGACCTTAGTTTCAAACTGCAATACCAGGACCGAGCTATTCTTTTGAGGGTTGCAGCCAAACATTTGCACATGAAAGCTTCATTTGCACCTTACATCATCATATTAGTTTGATAAAACTCTAAATGATCACACAGATCAAAGACCATTATAGGTTTCTAAGGTCAGCATCTTGAACCCTTTTTGAGGCATGGCCTAGTCAATTTCTTCGGTGAAGGGTGAGGTCTCCAAGAATTTTAGCTCGTTTTCAAAAGATGTGACTTTTCCTTTTAGTTCATTCTCTGTGGCTTGCATCTTAGCTTTCAGATCTCTATTAGGCTAGGATTCCAGGTTGGTTTGTTTGGATTTTTGTGTAGTTTGTAGGTAGAGTTATGGCTAGGATAGTGATGATAGGTAGATAGAATGGCGTGTTCCTCTTTCCTAAAGGCTGAAGAGGTCTCAACTTCCTCATAGTTTGATTGTCTTTCTATTCGTTATCTATTGGAGGTGACAAAGTTAAAGTACTTTTGAGGTTTAAGGTGGTGTTATACTTTAGAGCATTTGTTTTAAGGTTTAGATTTGTTCAGCCAAATTCTGAAATTATTCCATGGATGGTCTTGTTTGTATCGACATAGGTCGGTCCGTAGGTTGGCTATTGTGGGTTTTGGTCCTAACTAGGATAGTTGGATTTTCTTGTTCATTGGCTTTTCTTCTGGGTGGTATAATGTTTAGCTCGACTAATGAATAAAGCCCCCTACCTGGCCTATCAAATGTTGATGCCAAATTTCGAATTAAGGGTCAAAACCTTGAAATCACAAAAAAGAAAGATAGTGGTTAATGCTTAAGGTAGATAGTGTTTTTTGTATTTACATTTTGATACTCAAGTTAAAAGTCGATCAAAAGAGGTCGGAAAGAGAGTGAAAAGTAAATGAGATAGGAGAAAGAATATAAAATAGTATATGGATTGCTTTATTTATAAGTGGAATGTGAGGGGTCTATAAGATAGAATAATAACGTAGCCAAATTAACATGACATTATACATATCAAATTGATCCGACATATCAAGTCAACCCAAAAATGAAAAATGCTCATGATTATCTACTAATAGTCTCTAACAAAGGAAAGGATCAATTTACATTTGACTAGTTATATATCTAGCTTTTGTTCAACACATTTTGGTTTGAAGGATCGATTTCTTTTCATAACATCTACTAAAATATATATTAACCCTCTCTATGCGCCTAAACTGCAAAATACAGCAGCTTGTTTAAGCAGTCCGTCTTTAATTATATTCAATGGTTAAACCAGGCAGCCTTTTGAATGGAGACCGTAAAACTGTTGTCCCTTTTGAAAACCTGCATTAGTTCCAAATCATTGGTAAAGGGTAAGCTCATTCACCAGAAAATAATCACTTTAGGCTTGCACAACAACCTTGCCTTATGCAAAAACCTCATCAGCTTTTATTTCTCTTGCCATTTACATCGCTTGGCAGATCGTGTTTTTAAGACCATTAACAACCCGTTAGATATTTCTTTGTGGAATGGCCTCATGGCTGCTTACACTAAGAACTTCCTGTTTTTTGAAGCTCTTGAGCTTTTTGAGAGGTTACGGAAATATCCTTATTTGAAGCCCAACACTTTCACCTACCCAAGTCTGCTAAAGGCTTGTGGTGGATTGGGAAGTGTTGGTTATGGGAAAATGATCCATACCCATTTGATAAAAGTCGGATTTTTATATGATGTTGTTGTTGCAAGCTCTCTTGTACGCATGTACGCAAAGTGCAATATGTTTGGGCAGGCTACACGCATGTTTGATGAAATGCCTGAGAGAGACGTTGCTTGCTGGAACACTGTTATTTCGTGTTATTATCAAGATGGGAAAGCTGAAAAGGCATTGGAATTGTTTGGGAAAATGAGGGATGCTGGGTTTGAGCCTAATTCAGTAACACTAACAATTATTATCTCATCATGTGCAAGGCTTATGGATTTGGAAAGAGGGAAGGAGATTCATCGACAAATGGTAAAAAATGGGCTCGTGTTGGATGGTTTTCTTGGCTCTGCTCTTGTTGATATGTATGGAAAATGCGGTTGTATAAAGATGGCTAGGGAGGTATTTGAGCAAATACCAGAAAAGGGTGTGATCACTTGGAATACCATGATTGCTAGTTACAGTTCAATTGGTAATAGCCAATCATGCATTGAACTCTTTAAGAGGATGAATGTGGAAGGGATCATACCCTCTCTAACTACTTTAAGCAGCATATTAGTGGCTTGTTCAAGATCAGCCCAACTTCACCATGGAAAATGTATACATGGTTACATGATCAGAAACATGATAGAAACTGATATCTTTGTTAACAACTCACTTATTGATTTATACTTCAAATGCGGAAGTGTTCATTCAGCTGAAAATATCTTTAAGATGATGCCAAGGACAGACGTAGTCTCTTGGAATGTTATGATTTCTGGATATGTGTTTGTTGGAAAATGTTTTGATGCTCTTGGCATCCATGAAACAATGATGAAAGCTGGTGTAAATCCAGATGCAGTAACATTTACTAATGTCTTAGCAGCTTGTTCACAGTTAGCAGCCTTAGAAAAAGGGAAGGAGATTCATAATTCTATAACTGAGAGCAAGTTGGAAAGAAATGAAGTGGTCATGGGGGCACTCCTACACATGTATGCGAAATGTGGTGCAGTAGATAAAGCATTTAGAATTTTCTGTGAGTTACCGGAGAGGGATCTTGTGTCTTGGACTTCTATGATCACTGCTTATGGATCTCATGGTCAAGCTCTAGATGCTTTGAAGCTTTTTGGTCAAATGCAGCAATCCAATGAAAAACCAGATGGAGTTACTTTTCTTGCCGTTTTATCTGCGTGTAGCCATGGAGGATTGATTGATGAAGGTTGCTATTATTTCAAACAAATGACCAGTGAGCATAGCATTAAGCCTCAACCTGAGCACTATTCATGCTTGATTGATCTTCTTGGACGTGCTGGACGATTACATGAAGCATATGAGATTCTCCAAAGTACCCCAGAAACTAGAGAGGATGTTGAGTTGCTGAGCACACTATTTTATGCATGCCATTTGCATAGGTGTTTAGAGCTGGGAGAGAAAATTGCAGAATTGCTTATCGAGAAAGACCCTGGTGATTCATCAATCTATATTATTTTGTCAAATATGTATGCTTCTGCCAAGAAATGGAACAAGGTAGGCAAAGTGAGATTAAAGATGAAAGAACTAGGACTGAAAAAGAACCCTGGTTGTAGTTGGATTGAGGTTGACCAGAAGATCCAACCTTTCTTTGTAGAAGATAATTCACACCCACAAGCAAAGATCATGTATGATTGTCTATCAAGCCTTAATAATTACATGGAGAAGGATGATATGATGGCAGCTCTCGAATCAAGAATAGTGCAAGGTGTTTTATAAAACTGAACAACTCACGCAGTGCTAGCAACTTAATGTTACAGGTGACTAGTATCATAAGGAATTATATTTGTTTGTGGTTCTAAGTTCAGGATGCTTTGGGAACACTTGCCATCTACTGATCTTATTGAGTTGTTCAATGAAGTAAAATTCGAGTGCTATCAAGCAACTAGAGATTTTTGAGAAGCTGTGGATGGTATGTACAGCATGCATCAAACTCATGTGAACATGCCTCCTTATGCATAGAGTGGACTCAATGATGTAATCTTTGTTCAATTTGTAGAATCCCGATTTCGGCTTTATAGGTGAATGTATACATGCAGGGCCTTATTTCAGAAACTATGACGAGACAAAGGTTTGAAGATAAAGAAGATAAGCATGCTCAACTGACTGCTAATGTGCAAGGCCATTTCTATTTTAAGCCTTGGAGAACCATCTGAGATGTGTCTTTGTTGGAAATTCACATTTTTATAGAGAGATAAGAAGGGAGCCCTCCCAGTTAAAACTTTTTTGTTTTTCAGAACTGCTTTCGAATAAAGAAAAATGACACTAGAAATCAAATCATCAATCAATTGATCATGCCCTGTTAATTGATGCAGCAGAAAAGCTGTGATTAAGCAGCTCATTTCAATGCCTATTTGCAGAAAGAAAAGAAAGCTTGTTGCAACCATTGAAGAATTGTGCAATCCTTGTTAGATTTCTGATCCTAGATAAAGATTGTTAAGGAAAAATACTACTTTGTGTTAATTCTGAATAAAATAAATAATATGATAATATATATAATTGTTAACATGGAATAGTAATACTAATGCGTTGTTATCAATACTAACAGAATAAATAATTTTATAATCAATTTATGTAAATATTAATATAAAATGATAATATAACTTTTAGATTATATATTTAAATAACACAAAAAAATTGGATAACAAAAAGTTACAAGAGTAATGGTAAATTTTAATTTCTTTTAACTTAATAAGAATAACAAAATTATAATTTCATAAAAATAAATGTAATAAATATTAACAAATTATATTATTTTTATATTTGAGATTGATAGACATTGAATCTTAATAATTAAAATTAAGAGTTTAATATTTTACCAACAAATCACACAATTATTAGTAAAAATTTGTCCTATCTTTTATGAAATTTATAATAATAATTTTGGTAATTTGTTTATAAAAATTTTTATTTAAGTATTAATTTAAAATAATAAGATATGAAATATGAGAGAATATCATCTAACCTTTGATTTAGTATCTAAAGACGTTTGAAAAGACATTAATGGTCTGTCTTCGAGTCAGGCTCCCCTTTCCTTTACTTGTATTAAGATTTTACCCTCTAATATAACCAAAATATATATATATATATATGATAGAATATATAATTAACATAGAGATTTAAGTGGACTTTATAGAGTTTTCTATGTAAATTAAATTCATTTCATTTTTTTTCTGGTGGATTATCTTTCTTCGCCAATAAAAGAAAAAAAAAAAGAATTATATGGTTATCTTTAAGAGTAGTGCAACGGTTTGATAATGAAATATCCGTTTTGAATTTTCTTAATCTAAATTATTAAAGCTTTCAAAAGAAAATTTGTATGCATGTAACTCATCATTAAATGGATTGTAAAGAAGAAAAAAGAAAAATAATATCTACAATATAATGTACTGGTTTTTTAAAAACCTATTAAAGCATATATATATATATATATATATGTAATGAGCTACATAATGAAAAATAGTTACGTGTGTTTTTTATTTTGTAAATTTTATTTTTATTTATATTAGAATTCTCGAGATTTTCAAAATGAAAATTTAAAGCTTTTAACTTGTGATGCGCATAATTATTCTAAACGAATTGTTATTTTGGTATTTTTGTTAATTAGGCAATTATGTAACAGGGCTTTTATATATATGGAAAACGAATGATAAAATTACCAAAAAGTTTTTCAATTAAATGATTCATTGAAGATTCAAAATAACTGTTTAAAAGTTCAATGAAGAAGGTCATTATTGCACGAAATATTTGTGAGAGATTTTCATAATATGGCATGTCTATCCAAAATCAGGTCTTTAATTTTTCCAAATTTCTCATTTTTTTCCTAAAATATAGCTGTTTCCACTATTTTTCTCTTCTCTTTATTTGACCTTGATAACTTGATTAACCACTCCCTCACTCCTTGTTTGTCTCTTTACATGCCTTATAATTCCAAAAGTTTTCTAAACTCCATTCTTTTTTTTTTTTTTAATTGCAGTCTTCTCATTTTCTCTTTGAAAAAAAAAGAAAACAATTTTTTTGTTTTTCTTTGTTTTGCTTTCCGTTTAATGGATGATCGAGCTGCAGATCATGGGGTTAAAAACATGGAAAAAGAGTCTGTTTCTAATGAAACATCAGATTTAACAGCCACAAAACCAAACAAACTCTTTCTCAAGTTCAACTTCTCCAAGGACCAGCATACTTGTTCCGTATGCAGCAAAGCCTTTACCTCAGGAAAGGCATTGGGAGGACACATAAGGATCCACATGAGGGGCAGCAAAAGTGGTCGCCATAGAGAGATTGCCAAGCTTCAGCCGAGAAATATTCGTCGTGCCAAGGCTAAGAAACGGATTTCCAAAAATATGGTCTTGCCAAAAGCTACGGATGGAGCTGTTGATCCGCCCTTTAGTGATGAAGAAAGTAATGAAAAAGCCAGTTGTTGCATATGTAACAAGGATTTCAGGTCAATGAAATCTTTGTTTGGGCACATGAGGAACCATCCTGAGAGGGGTTGGAGAGGGATCAAGCCACCTCCTTCTGACAAAAACAGCTGTTGTTCGAGTATATCCGAAAACGATAAAGCTCTAGAAGTTGATCAGAATCATCAGATTAACTGTGCAACAGAAAAAGACTTGGTGTCAGGTTCTGATCTGTTAAAGTCTCTTCCGAAATGGACTAACACTGCCAAGCGATGCTGGAAATTCACCTCTGATGAGAATGAGATATCTGAGGCCGCCGATTGCCTTGTGAAGCTAGCTCGAGGAGACTCTTTTAATTTGGGTCAGTCAAGTGTTGGATACCAAAGAAAATATTCACCAACAGATAAGCTGCCGATACATAAAACTCGATATTGGGGCTTGGCAAATAAAGCTTCAGAGGAGAAAAGGGGCAGTGTTCTAGGTAACGAAATAGGTAAGGAGACAGGAAAGGCTACGTTGAAAACTGAGTCGGATCAACAGAGAGTTCCTTCTGAATGTAAACGGGAAGATTCATACTCTCCTGGAGAAGAGAAAAAGATGGGGAAGTTTTTAGCGATAGAGCTCAATTGCGGTAAATTTATCAATAGGAAAACGATGGAGAGGGAAAATAAGATGAAGGTGAATTATGCAGATAACAAGATCATCGAAAAGAATCGTTGGTTTGATCAATTTCAGAAGTACCCCATAAAGCCTGATGAAGAAGAGGGTGATCCATCGACCGAGGAAGGTAAAGACAGAGGCAGGAACTTCCCAAGTAGCCAAACACCTGGTTCTTACCCTAAAAACGGCCCTGGTGAAAGGCTATTTGAAGCTCCACTGAATGAAACGGCATCAACGGCCGAGGGCAAACACCTATTCCCCAAAACAGCTAGTCAGGCGGCTGAAGGCAGTCAGGTTTTTACCCCCAAGATACTAGATTTTGATCTCAATGAACCTTATGTGGCTCTAGATGGTGAGGCTGCAGGAACTTGGATGAACTGATCAAATCTGGTTATGTAGCTCACTTCGGGGTTTCCTGCTAGCGTTGAATTGCATTCTATAGTTTTAGTTCTTAGCTAGTGATGTTTGTTCTTTCCATCTATCTTATGTTTATTCTTGTTTTGCATAACATAATGGTTATCGTGTTTCCATTTAACATTGTATATTGAACTGATAATTGGAAGAATGTTGGTTCGAAGGATAATTCACGAAACTGTGATAACCATTGCTAAATTTTGGCATGATCGAATTGGTAGCGAAGTGGGAATTATTTATTAGAAAAAAAAAAAAAGCCTTCGGCATTTTTTTTATTGGCTTGGAAATGTTTTTCTACTTATTCTCATCTTCTATCCTTTTGTTAGTTCTGAAAATATTTTGGAAAATGGAAATTTGAAGAAAAATGAAGGGAAATGAATATATACAAAAAATTGATACATTGTTCTTTATTTTTATTTGATTATCCGAAATTAATTTAGGGTACTTACTAGGTATAAATATAATTTAGTTAAAATTTTAGTTATACTTCTACTTAATTAATTTTTGCAGTTACATTTCTTTAAGTTTTCTTTATAATTAAGTTAATTTCATGAAAAAAAAAAAAGGTTCAATGTGTCAAATAAATACATTGATTATATGAGATATTATCATGAGATATTATCAATAGTTTAATAATCTGTTAATAGAGTGATATAGTACTTTTAGATATGAAATATTGCCAACAATTTATCTGTTGAATTAATCTTTGCTCGTTTTCTTATGTTATCATAGGATTCATATGTGACATATAGCAATTAAAACAGAAGTATGTATAATACATCTTATGCTCAGCCCAAGTAGGTTGTCAACGAGAGTTAAAGATTGATTCAACATGCAATTCATTTTTTGTGGGTACACTCAATTTTATTAATTCTCATTCTCACTTTAGCATTCTTCACTATTAATAATAAAATTAAAAAAGGGACATACAGTGAAGTCCACCTAATGCCTAAAAAAGTATGTATAAAAATATAAGGAAACTAAATTAATCACTAATAACAAATTGGCTTAATTGGTAATTTGTTAGTCTCATACATAAATGATTTTAAATTTTATTCTTTTGATGATTTGTTTTTATATGTTCTGATAAGGTGAGAGGACATCAAGTAAAATTAAAAAAAAAAACTTATATTGAATTTATATATTTTTTGTAAAAAAATCTCGTTGATAATGAGATTCGAATTTAAATTTTATAAATGAAATATTCAAATCTTATCAATTCAAACAATTTTGTTTGAAATATATTTTTTAATAAAAGAGATAATTCCAGACATCCCCACCAAATGCAAACAAAAATAATTCCATTAATCATATATTTTTGCTTTTGTATGCAAACGTTTTTAGTCCTGTAGGTCTTAAAAGGATCAAAAACTTAAAAAAAAAAAAAAAATCCTTGGTATTTAGTTTTTTCTTATAGTTTTGAAACTGCATAGGACATTAAACATATTGGACATTTTTCAATACTATAAAAACTGCATAAGACATTAACCATTTTTTTAAAGAAAAATGAAATTCAAACCCACTGAGATACAATTACATATACTTGTTATGGAGTAAAATGCTCAAATGCCAAAATTTATAATTAATATATATACATATATATATATATATATCATCCTTCGATTAAAAAAGTCAAGAATTAAATGAATGAATTATAAGTTTTAATTGGTGACTCTTTGGAGATGCTCTTCAAGTATATAATAATACATTTACTGTAGTATACCAGACAAAGTATCGTTGATAATCATGGGTGCCCAAAGTTCTCAATTATTTCAGTAAGAATGACACATCCTGCACATCCCATTAACAGAGTAAGGGTAAGCCTTCCTCCTGGAACAAGCTCTGGCAGTTTCAACAATGTCGATGAACTGGAGTATCGATCTGACCAAGACATTGCAGCAGGAAGAATTCCAAATAGTACCAATACTGGCAAAAACATGGAAATTTTGATCACTTTCAGGTGATTAAAAGACAAAGGAATTGAAGCTTTTTATCAAAATTAGAATAAGCAATTTGTGGTTGTTTGCAAGGCAAGGCACAGTGATAAAAGTCCAAATATATAATGCTAATGGAAAAGCAAATTTATTGGTATATATGCCCTCAAGTTGGTTTCAGGAGTGAGGGAAAAAATTGCAAAAATGCTTCAGAAAATTACCTCCGTATGTTCCAGCAAAATCCAAGGCTTTAAAGAATATCTCTGGGTCTAGCAAAGCAAGTCCTAGAGGCGGAATCAAAGTCAAGAGATAGGGTTGAGGCCTATTCTCACCACTTGGAAGTTTCAGCACTGAAATAATTGGAAAAAATGAGAGAAAAAAAATGAACATGGTGTAGTGACAGTGACCAGTTCCATTGTTATGACATACACATGGACTGGATGCATGCTCTTCGGTTTCAGTTAATGGCCTAAGGAAGTAGAAATGCGAGTACATTTACATGCTTGATTCATGTATAAGCTAGGTGAGATCATTGACAAAATCGAAAGAGAACTCACAATCAGCCAGGAAATCGGAGAGTCCCAAAACAAATCCAATATAAGATGTTGCAATTGCAAGAAGTGAGAAGGCCTCAATTATTGGCTGCGAATTCATTTTAAAAACAAAAGTGGTGTCACTTCAAAATTCAATTTGCTCCCTTTAACCCTCAAGTTTGGCTCAAATCCATTAAGAACAAAGAACTTACTCCAACAACTCCATTACTAGATCGCAATTGTTGCAGTGGGTCTATCATCTTATCTGAGCTCATTTCAAGATTTGAAATAGATCCTAGAATAACAGCGTTCCAGACAAGAAATAAACCAAGTGGTATAGCTGTGCCTAGGACAATAGCAGTCCTGCAGAAACAAGATTTTATCGGAGGGAGCAGTCATAAGGATGCAATAACAGCTGAAACAAACAAAGCAGGACTGAAAAATGTTTGGAATAACAAGTAGGCTCATCCGTCGCCGTAAATTTTCATCATTGAGATTGTTGATGATCAAAACTATTATTGGCAGTATATTGCTAATTCCACAATCTAATCATCAGAATTCAAGAGATTAGCAATGTGATAATGTTTGACAGTGAAAAGAAAGTGAAGCGGAAGGGAATAAAAGAAACTAAAAGCATATAATGATAAGATCTGCCACCTTACTTTTGACATGTTTCCTTCAAGATTTGTACAGAGAACCGGTACAACATTCTGAACAAAGTAGATACAAGATGTTACAGCAAGTTAATTAAACGTTAGATTACTACAGGTTCAAAGATGTTACCTGGTAAACAAATGCTAGTGCAATTATTGGTATACTCATAGGAACAGCTTCAAAGTTGGCTTTCAGAAGAGCATCCCATTCTAGGCCTCCACTTGCAACAGCCTAAGGGAAAAAAAAAAAAAAAACACTTAGCAATATCAAACGAAAAACATCTGACAGGAAAATTGAAAACTTTGTTTTCTTAGTGGTATAATGCATATGAATTGACAGTAATCAGATATATTTAAGAACAAACTCATTAAAATAAACAGGTCTTAATGCCTAAAGGTCTCATATTTATATAATTGTTTTCCTTTTTTTTTTTTTTTGGGTTTAGGAAAGGAGGATTCCAACACAACTCGTTGAACAGGGAACACATGCACATGACATTGAGCAAAATGCTCGGGTGCATTGTTTGTTCATCTTTTATGGGAAGTTGCGGAAGGGTTTTAACATCTTTATATATCTTCTTATATCAATTTATCCTCCCTTGAGTTCTCCCTCGTAAACAAAAGGAATTGTTTCTGGCTAATCTGATGAAATATTAAGCTGTCCCAGTACGTTGTCTTGCATTGCGGAGGCTAAAAGGGAAAAGAGAATCAAGAAGGAAAGAAAAGGTTGATTCCCAATCAATAAGAAACAAAGAATATATATTACTATAACAAGAAATAAAATTTTATTTGCGAATTTGAGAGAGGACCTTATTTAGATGTAAATAATGAAAATTAAACCATATTGTTGATTAAGTCGGGGAATTACCACAAGAGCAGTGAAAGAAGAGATGATTCCAAATACAAGAACCCCATTAACGGCACCAATAAAGCGCTGGCTACAGTTGAACACAAGTCAAAGTTAATCTTAATTTGTTCATTTTAAATGAAAAAAAAAGTATACATTGAACCATGCTAAAAGAATAAAAAGGGAGCCAGAATATGTCATCAACTCTACGACCATATTATCATAAGTTCCCATTTAAAAGTCCATACCCGTTTTCCTTTATGTAGAAAACTAGATTTCAGATTTTGTGGCTTATGAATGACTGGCCTTTATATCTAATATCAAACACTGTAAGTTAAATATCATGTAGTCAAAGCAAAATTTTGAAAGAGAATAGAAATGTAGGTTAATATTTTAGCACAATGGTAAAGACATCAACGAGTGTAAAGACAATTTCAACTTAAAATATTAACTGAAAATGAAAAAAAGTTGACACACTTGCACATGAAAGCCATACACCCTGCGGCCTGCATATTTTTTGAAAGGGAAACAAAATCCTAATGTATGTGGCAATCAACTTGGCCAAAAGACATTCTGAAGTAATGGAATAAAAGCCTTGATTTCTCATGTGGAAATTAGGTATGAGGCAATTCCTATGTCAACAGATCTGAAAGCTCATCTAATGATTTAGCTAATAAAATTTTGTTCATCAAGGGAAAAATTCTACATGGAAAAGGAGATGATTTATGCCACCAAAACAGGGTTGATGCAACTTCATGTTCCCTTTACTGCTAAGAGATTGATAATCTGACACGGAACATCATTAAGGTTTTCAAGATGTTCAAGAAGTTAATAATAACAGCAGAGAAGAGTGTGTAAAGCAACACCAACCTTCCAAAGTAGCATATGCCTCCGAAAACCAATGAGAACAATGTTGCACTTTCCCATCTGCAATCAAAGGCTGTCCGTCAATACCTAAAAAACATATAACTGTTTGATACATTAATCATAAAAAGCAAAATGCAAGATTCTGGTTAGTCAGATACAAGTGTGGTGTCATGTTAAGTTACTTAGAGAATTAGAAATAGAATTCAGGCTCGTACAATGGAATGCCAAGATAATTTGTCAAAATTTCTGAAGAACGAGCCACATAGGCAACAAGAAGGGCGTAATGTATAAATATGTATGACCAACTGCAAGACAAGTACACAACAAAAATGACTCAGTTTGACAATAAAATCCAGAATGTACAGAGGGTTAACATTCAGATAACTTAAAATGCGCAGGCTGTTATGATTGCATTAAGGCTTAAAATGTAGCATGATATACTGCAGTTCAAAAAAAATCAGTCATAGAGCTGCAAACCTTTGTAAGGTGGTGGAAAAACAAACAAAAAGGTTGTCGAAAAAACAGCCTTACCAGACAAGATAAAACTCCACAAAAATCTAATTGTTTGTTATAATCATGCAGTCACTATATTTTCACTACAACTAATAAAATAATTTCAAATTTTAAGTTCTGTTATTCCTTTTTAGACATAAAGCATGCATTTGATAGTCTCAGATGCAGCCCATCCAATTCCTCAACAGCCAGAAAAGCAAAGAATACAATCATCAAAAGGAGAAAGAAAGGGACAAACAAACATTAATCAATAGACCTCAATATCTAGTTAGGTTGTATGTTAACACATGATGACACTGTGTATAGTAAAAAAAAAAAATCAAATTTATGACTTCTCAGCCTACCAAGCAATTTGAACTCCAACTGGCCCAAGAGTTCTCCTGGCCATGGATACCTGAAATAAACCATATAAGTATGCTAATTCCTTATAATGAGACCTAGTATCAAATATCAATATGCAAAAACTATGGGAAATGTCAGTAGATAACTAGCATTTGAAATTTGATTTTGATTTCAAATATGCATAATGACAAAAGGGAACTACCGAGACTAATATTTATCCATTAGATAAATAATCAGAAAATAGTAAGTTAGTTTCCTCTCTCTTTTATCTTACACTTATCTTGCAACTCTCTCTCTCAGTCATCTGCAAGATATGTTCTACAACATGCTCATTTTGCAATATTTATATGAACTTGTTTTGTCAAAGAGACATGGAAATCAACTAACCCACATGCACAAAGCTTTGTTCATACTTCCTATACTCCAAGATGGTGATCACTTTCCAGTAGAATTTCTCTAATCTAGCTGTTATAACTTTTGCCAATTAGTTCATTTAGACAACATCCATAAATTGTAATGCCCTACATGTTTTCCTTATAAAGTAATAGTTCATATTAGTATAAAATATAAAATCAAGAAATCAATGATAAATTTAATTTAATTCAAATAATGGTAAATAACGTTTTTTACAAAATGTTTTTGATGCAGGAAATGATTCACACAGTACGTGACTCGTAGAATTGATTTCAAGGGATGATGATAGTGATCCATAGTTACATACCAGTGAAACACCACCAGAGCCCAGTTCACACATTGTGTTGACATTTACTTCAGCAATGAGCAGCCCGGTGGCAACCTGTCCCAGGTTTTCAATTACCGTAGTGATTAATTTCCCTAATTGTAAACAAGTATAAAAATGAGGAAAATGAAAAGAATTTTTACGCAAAGAAACGTTGTCGCCAATTACCATGAAAATCCAACAAAGAATACAAGCAACTGCAGAGGCCAAAAAACCAGATTCTCGTGTCACTGATGGAATGGCCAGGATTCCAGCACCCACCTGGAGAATTAACCACCAGCAGCTAGGTCAAAAACATCAAATACATTAATAAGGTTAAAAAAAATGAAAATCAAACAATGGACAATAGAGCAGAGCTGAGAAAATCAAGGGCATACCGTAGTACCCGCCACCAGGAATATTGCACTGGATAAACTTCCTGGAGGGAGTCATAGAACTCAAAGTTAAAACAAATCATAGAAATTTAAAAGGGTAATTAAATGAACAAAATTAAACTAAGAATAATGGAATTCCTCTATATACAATATATATTTATATGTACCATTACCAGGTTCTCTCTTGAGTGTGGCTTGGTTGAGGTTTGAAAAGAGCCTCTCAAATTCATATTCTTGAGCCTGATCATCATCAGACTGTCTCTGGGAGGAGCATTTGAAGGTTCTCAAGGAAGTAGGAAACCGATGACAGTAGTGGTTTCTATTTCTCATCAGTAATTTTGGGCACAAGTACTTTGGGGTATAAATTGGATGGTTGTGAAGGAGAAGTTGAGGCCTTGTGCGAGATATTAGAGAAGTTGGCGTTTGCAGTGGAATAGAGACTGACATTTTTGGCTTCCCAACTTAGACTTGAGATAGAGTCTGCTTTGCTTAGCTACTTGCCTTGCTTGGCCTGGCCTGGCTTGGCTTGGATAAGGAAAAGCAGGAGGAGGAAGGAGGGAGTAGGGGAGGCAATGATGCAGCGTCGTAGACTCTAACGTTGACCTGTACCATAAACATAGTTCAATTGTTGAAGTAAAGGGTGACGGTTCGCTCAGGATAACGTGGGCCATCGCAATCGAAAACCATGCCTTAACCTTTTCAGTTTGATTTGTTATTGATTCTAAATTTCTAATTAATTAAATCAATAGAACCACTGAATCTTGGCTTTGAGCGTTGCAGTTTGAGCTCCCAACTATATCAATGGGATACTACGCAAATACATCCCACATGCAGTTGGAAACTCACATGGATTTCATCGTAACTACAATGATGCAGTTGAAGCCCCAACTACACCAATGCAGTTGTAGATGCGATGAAATCCAAACGGATCCTTAAAATCAATATTGATTCCATTTACAAGCTGATGGGCACTTGATTTATGGACAACTCTAATGACAATGGATTACTAATTTTATCTTTTAAAATTTCCTTGAATAGGATAATCCTTAGTAATTTTCTTTTAAATGAAGTAAATGTAAATGTAATATACCCACCGTAATATGAAAGCAGTATAATATACATAAGGTATCAATTTAAATAATAATCATAACAAGGTAGAAAAATATTGAAAAGTGTTTTTTTTTTATACATTTGAATTACATAAATTAAACAAACGCTTCTCATCTCATAAAACAATCTTGAGCAGAGGTCCTTAGGTTGAAATGGATATTATCATTTTTAAGCTTTTGCTGAAGATTTAGTTTGGCCTTCTTATGAAAATTCATTCAGATTTGTTTAATTTAAATTTAATATTAAATATTAAAAAAGTATATTTTAAATTTGCCAGTAGTAAATTATATTTTAAATTAAATGTAAATAAAAATAATTAATTTAACAATAAAATATTTTCTTAGACCATTGTCATCTTCTGCAAAGAAAAAAATTATTGCAAATAAAAATATTATTACTAATAAAATTTACTAGTAGTAAGTATTTTAATATAATGCTATAAAAATTAAAATAATAATAATAATAAAATTAATAGTTAAAAAAAAAAACGAAAAAAAGGGGGCGGTGGGCAAATAAAAATGGGGTTCCGTTGCAAACGAGTGAATTTCTCATATTTATCTTTTTTCTGTTTAAAAAAAAAAAAACACACAAAACAAAACCCTGACTATCGATTCAGTTTGGGCCTCGAAATACCTATCTACCTTTTGTCTTTCCGCATCCAACTCTATCAACAATCGATCCTTCAATTTCGATCGTCTGATCCATCTCCCCCTTCCATTCAACCCAGGTATCTCGATTTTTCTGAGTTCCTTCTTTGATTTGTTCTTTTGCTTTTCTTTTCTTTTTAAAAAGTTTGTGGAATTCTTTATTTTATGTAGGAAATTTTGTTTGATTGATCATGCGGGGAATCCTTCAATATATATATATATATATATATATTAATTTCCATTGAATCTGCATTGTTCTGTCGAAAGAATCGTGAATCTCTTCCGCTTTTTACGGCTGTTTTTGGTAATTTCATAATCAAATTGGCTCGTTGAAATCTTGTACTTGGAATTTTAAAAAAGTACCTAGTTGATATATAATGTCTAGATGCATACATTATTGACTCAGGAAAATGGAAAACCGAAATTTTCTTTTGACCCAAAATTTGGGTGTATTAGAAATATGTTTTTGAAAAGTGGGAGGCATCTGTTATAGTCTCTTTTTTTCGTGAATTTGGGTGCGTTGAAATAGGTTTCTTTATGATCAGAATTTAGCAAACACGGGGTGTTAGTCTGCTATTGGTCTTATCTATGAATCCTTCTTGATTGCCTGAAATTTGACTTTAGTGTATTACTCCTTTTTTTTTTTTTTTGGATTAGAAAATTCACAATCATCTTTAGGCAGATTTCACAATGCAGTGATTCATATGGCTGCAAGTTTATTATCTGCTTTAGGGAATTGCAAGAAGTGAGAAACTCGGGATTTAGATAGAGAATATAGAGAAGCAGCAGTTTTTTATGTTTTGGGATTTAGATAGTATTCTCTAAAATAGTTAGGATTGCATTGGATATGATTGGAGACCAAATTTGTTTGCATTCTTTTTGTAAAATATAAAGAAAAAGGGAGAAGAAAAGAGCCTCCAAAGAAGCTTGGATTTGCCTGCTGCAGTTCTGTTCTCCTGTTTCTTGTCTGTTAATTATTAGTAGTTTTCCTTTATCAATGATGGCAACATGTTATCACTTTCTAAAACTGTCTCTGAACGGAGAGTCCAAATGCAAAATGAACAATAACTGGAATTTTTTCATTCTATTGCAAACCCAAGAATATAATATCTGAATTTGGTGAGTTAGGTTCTAACTGGAAATTTCAAGCATGGTAAGGAAGCTTTATAATGAAACTATTTACAGTGTTATGGGTAAGCACATCATGGACAAAGAATGAAGCGAACAACTTCTTAAATTAGAGCAACAGAAGGTTTCATTTATTTTTAATTTTCTAGATCATGTATTGGTCTGAGATGTAAGAGGTAGGCACTAACTGTAACCTTTAATTGTGGTGAATTGAACTTGAGAAACAGTTAAGTAAATTTTATTTTTTTTCTAAATGGAGATTAATATTATGCCAAAACAATGAATTTTAAAAGTTCTTAATTGAGGACCCAGGATAAAAAGCTTTCATATAAGCACATATGTGTTTGAGTTGCAAGTTCTTGGTATGTAGCTGGACCTTTTGACTTTGATGAGAGAAATAACTTATTTGCATAGGTTGGAGCTATTGTCAGCATGTATCCATAAGAAGAAATCATGTTTGGAATTCTGGTAGTATTTGCAATTATTATTTCATTCTTTTTGTCGTTCTTTGATGGGTTATGAATATGTAATTGTTGTCATGTTCTGTGAAGGAAATTCCTCTTCAGATTGTATTGGGAGTTTGATACTCTGTTAATATGGAGTAACTTTCATTAATTCTTGGATTATTATGTATGTCTTTTATTATTTTTGGTCTTCCCTATTAAAATATTCGAAAGACAGTGGATCTTTTTTTTATGGGAACTATCTGTTAGATAATGAATTAGAGATACTGGCCTATGATAAAAATTAATGTCCTTGCTGTAATTAGCAAACATCTAATGTTATAGGGATATAACTTTTGTGCATTGTGTAGGAAATGTGATTACTCAGGGTGTAGTTTCCCCGGTTTTATTTTGATCTGCTTTCTTTAACTGGATGCCAGTTATGTTCTCGAGGTGCAGGCACAAGATTGTATTTTTTGGTCACAGCTGACTAGCATACTTCAATCAATGTATTAGTCGGAGCTTTTGGATTCCAACACATTATTTATTGTAAAAACCATCTGGGTTTGTGTATTTGATAAACATATTGTGAGAATTAAACTCTTTTTTTGTTTCTTATTTTCATTGTTTTTTGGATTTCGTCACTTCTAGGCTTATTCTCGTAACATGACAGACAAATGAGAAATGACCACTGATGTTACTATTGCTGAGTATTGATTGCTTGCGTCTTTTTATACAGCATTGATTTAGTAAATTATTGTCTTAAACATTTCAGGACTATATTTGGCCACAACGATGTCTCCTGCATCCAAATCTAAGTCCAAGGATAAAAAAGCTGGCAAGGAATCTCAGAAGGCTTCTTCAAAGCCTTCAGGATCTGCTAATGTAGGTAGTGGTGTTCCAGCCAGTGCATATAATCCACTTTTGGGAACATTCCATACCATTGAAACAGTGCCATTGTCCTCTGCTTCACCACTTCATGACAATGGTCGTTTCCGAAATATAGATGAGACAGATGAGCATTTGGGGGGACCACTTGGAGCTGGGGTTGAGTATGATTCTGTATCTAATAATGGTAGCTGGTCTGGTGAGTCAGAAGATCATAAAGACAAAACATCTAATCCTCCCATCCGGCAGGAAATAATACCAGGAGCTGACAATGATAAGCGGGAAAAAATTCGTCAAAAGAATGAGAGGAAACATCAGCGTCAGAAGGAGAGGCGAGCTCAGGAGTTGCATGAGCGGTGCAGTGGCTATCTCATGTCGAGAAAGCTTGAAGCACTTGCTCAGCAGCTTGTAGCAATGGGATTTTCTCATGATCGGGCAACAATGGCTCTTATATTGAATGAAGGCAAACTGGAGAAATCTGTGGCATGGCTTTTTGAAGGAGGTGAAGAAGCAGTTAAGCATAAGGAATCAACTATTGGTGGTGGGAACTTGAAAATTGACATATCAGAAGAGCTTGCACGGTTTGCTGATATGGAAATCAGATACAAGTCTACAAAGCAGGAGGTTGAAAGAGCAGTTGTTGCTGCTGAAGGTGATCTTGAGAAAGCAGCAGAAGCCTTAAGAACTTTAAAGCAGGACCCACCTGCTCCACCAAAGCATGAAGAAACTTGTGATCCCGTGACTACTAGTACCAATAGGGTGTCGGTGGCAGGTAGTCAATACCTATCATTTAAGACACAACCGAAAGCAAATCTATCTCCTGCAACACAGCAAAGAAGGGATGAGAAGGATTTTAACTATACAAAAGCAGCAGTTGCAATGGGAGGTTCTTCAGAATCTGTGAGTAAAAGTTTCCGGCCTTTGAAGAGAATACAGCCAAAGTTAGATTGGGCAAAACCCCAACAAAGTGAGGTGCCAGCTGAGAAAAGGTGGCCAAGTTCTGGATCAAATCCTTCTGTTTCTTATTCCATGGCATTGCCTTTGCAGGCCTCGCCTTCACCAGCAAATACAGAAAGCCATTATGTGGCTGTTGGAAGTGATTTTAAGAACCTTCAGCCATCAATTAGGGAACCGGTTATAATGATGCAGCGACCTCAATCTATAAATACGAAGCATGTTCCCGCTACAAGTACAAGCACATCTCCTCCTGGAACAACCTCCTTTATGTATCCAACCAGTATTGTTGAAATTACGAAGTCTAATGGCTTTATGCCCCATATTCCGAGTGCTAGAAGCCTTAGTTCCAACAATATGAGTTCAAATCAGATGCATCACCATCATTATTATGCACAAGGACAACAACAGCAACACTTAACATCCGGCAGTGGTCCAGGAGATTCTCCAGGAACAAGCCGAGGAAATGGTTTATGGAGTAGAACAGGCACATCAACGCTGGCGGCTGCATCTTCACTTGGACTATTCACCGGTTTGGGTTCTACCACTTCATCAGGAGCCTCATCTCCAGTTGACTGGAGCAGTGGTAGCTCAATGGCACAGTTGGACTATGCCAATATTGATTGGAGCTTGGATCGGGGGTTGTATTCTTCTCCAATGCCTGGTGGAATTTGGATGGGACCGGAATCATCTGTGAAGAGCGCTCACATGTCTTATCCTAATAGAAATGGTTTAAGTGTTAAACCAGCAATGAGATTGACACCTACTAATGGAAACGGTGTACCCATTGTTGGGTTTCAAGACGGCGGAGTGGCTTCTGCCGAAGCTCCAACTGCAGGCTCGCGTGAATGGACTTCACCATTTGAAGGGAAAGATCTATTTAGCTTACCCGGGCAGTTTGTTTCTTCTCCCTCACTCTAGGGTGGGGAAAAGATTTTATGAAATAAAATGAAAGAAAAAAAGACAAAATGTGCTTGAATTTGCTGTTAGTGTTGATTTTGTGACGTTGATGTGCTGATAGCTGGTGAATATCATTTAAGTGAGAAAAAAAAAAAGCAGTAATCTTTTCTGTTTATCTCTATCTGCAAAGCTCATCCACCATCATTGGGTTCACTGAACGAATTACTTGCTTGATTTCTTAGGTAAATTTGGGTAACATATTCCACTACATTTATTTATGTTGCAAACACCAATAAGTTTTCACTTGGCAGCAATTAAGATAACAGAATGCAACATCAATAAAAATAGGTTCAGCGACCTTTCTTTTGCACATGATAATACATCAAATTACCATAGAAATAACTATACTGCGAATACATAACTCAAACAATTTGTAACTCCACATTTTTTTTTCGTTTTTTTTTTCTTTAAATATGGTATTTCAAATAACACTCAACAACAAAGGCTTGCAACTAGCAGCTCATTTGTTATTATGGCATATCATTCTTTTTGATGCGTTTAGAGACTTGTCCACACATTTTCCGTACCTAATCTGTTTAAGCGCAAAATATCAGGTCTCATATAATGTACAGTAAATGCTGAAATAGACATAAAAATTTAAACAGGAGCTACACAATATTGTACCTCCCAGACATAAAAACAGCATCGTATTGTCCACGGCCAGATGCAGTTACACGCTGCTTTAGCCGTTTAAGAGAGAGGTTATGCTACTCATGCAAGGCAATACATCTCTAATTATGATTACCATGGCCTATTTTGACTTCCACTGACAATAAGAATATTTATAAACTCTCCCAATCTAAATTAAATACAAAATTTGGAGTAAAGATGTGAAGTAGGGAAAATTTTATGCATAAAGGCTGTTACAGTGATGTATGCTCTAATATTCCATCAAAAATTGTCCTCTCATAAAGTCAAGCTAAATTATCAGCCCAAATAGCCTTCACCTAATTATATTATGCATCAATAACAGGTTTCCAAATATGAGTAAATGCCAAAGAAAGAAAAGAGGAATAGAATGTGCAGTTGATTCTGTGCGTTTATACCCAAATCATTAATAGACTTCTTCAGATATTCCATTCCTTGATATCTTCTCCAGCAATGTCAAAGCATCAACCTTACTAGTTTGATCTAGTTGAAGACACTGGGAAATCAGAACTTCTCTTAGCTATAAACTACTGCAAGCAATAAAAGCACAACAGAATTTTGTTCACCAGTGCCCTCATATATTACCTAATAAACTTCAGCCGTGGAACATGCCTCCTTAGGCTTTATAAGAAACGTTGGAATGTCCAATGGAAGAGGTGGGGAAATCTCTTGACCAACCTGGGCATATCAGCATAGAGTTCATTAATCATGCAAGTAAAGCAACAGAGTGTATAAAATTCACTCGAAATGAATGAGATTGCATCATGAGCATGTGCAAACTCATAATAACTACAATCAGAAGAGAGATGTCACAGTTTTAGGCACAAAATTGTGCTGTAAAAATAAATAAACAAATATAAATGAAGTCTATGAGTTCCACTGCCAGTATTAACAAAATATTTGGAAATTTTCAGGTACTAAAGGAACAAAGGAAGCTTTAGTTATGTGCACAACGAGCTTTTCATTCTTTTTGTTTCCACTCAGAAAGAAAGCCATGAATTAAATATGCATCAGATTTTGTCAAATTCACAATTTAGAATAGGAACTAGAAAAAGTCAGAAATGAAACTCAAAATGATACTAGTTTTTATATCAGGCAGCAAAAACACTGAAGTTATTATCACAGAAGGTTCCTAAAATTGGCCTCATTCCCTAACATGTTAAATGGTCAAGATATTCCTGACAAATGTGTTTTGCAACATAAAGAACAAGGTTGCAATATAAAAGGAAACAAATTAACATCTCGGAGCCATAATTAAGGTACGGTATTATCATACCTCACCTCAAACAGTACAATATGCTGCTCCATGTGATAAAAAGAATGGAATATCCGAACCAATTTCACTTGACCATTCCTGGAGCTCCTACTTAGTTGCAACACAATCATTGAACTGATTAGCTGCCCAAAGTGCAGTTGCTGCATTGCTGTTTCCACTACCAAGCCCTGTCCCAGTGGGCATCTTTTTATCAAGATGAACCAGCCCATGATAATCCGATAAGAAAAAAAAAATATATATATATATATATGCAAAAAGTGCTTCCCAGATAAACTCTAATTTCTCAGAAGCACATTTATTAAAATAAAATGTACAAATGCAAAGTTTATCTTGTATCTTGCATCTTACACAAAAGAAGTTCGAACTGCCAGTTTTTTCCTGTAGAGTTTAAGGGCTTTAATAATCAGCAACAAGGAAGAACAAATTTAGGGACACAGGAGAAAAAAGGGAGCCTGGGGTAGGGGACACCAAAAGAATTGCAGTAAGTTTAGAACCTCACCAAGTTTCTATCATCAAGGGGAACACCAGAGATATTAGTTGACAAACTATCCTTGGTTTTGGATGGTGACAAAGAGGACTTAATTATATCCCCAGACTAACTGTCTGGATCCACAAACAAGGATAAGGGTCAAAATCAGACATTTAGGGACCAAAAAGGAAACCTCATTGAAAAATATACATTTCAATTCCAAAAAATTCACAAACTTACATGAAAGAGAGATGCTATATCATGATACCCATCTTCCCTTTTGTCGGTTATTCTCAAGAAAACATTAATCTATACCCAAAAAAAAAAAAGGCTATGGGCTGTTACAATTGAAAATATAAAACAGATAAAAATGATGCAAAAAAATTTTTCATTTTAAGTCAAAGAAAAGGGAATAAATTTACCTTACAAGGTGAGAACAAAGGAAGCCTTGAAAAAGGAAGGAGCTTTCTTGTCCACTTGATCTGCTAACTTGTTCGGCCTCTCATCAGGGTCGTAGACAATCTAAACAAAATGAAATGAACTACGCCCATAAAATATAACTGAAAATATTAACATTTTAGTAAAAGAAAGAAAGAGTAAATCAAAGTAGAACCTCTAGCTGTTTCTTGGATGCTTTAACAAATGGGATTCTTTGAAATTGAAGTTTTGTTGGGGGAGTTATTGACAAGTGACCGTTTTTGGAGGAAGGAGGGAAGAAGAGATTGTGGTTATAGAGCAAATAAGAGGAAAATTCGTAATCCCAAAGTACAAAGAAAATTTGTCCAAATAATTATGTACTTCCTGGAGTTTGGGCGTTGGGACAAATGAGTTATGGCTTTAAGCAAACAAATGGAATGTCTTTAGAGTTGATAACGGGATGGGTCGAAACGAATTTTTTTTTATTCAAAATTTGATCTGATTTTATATATATTAAATTTGAATTTGATTTGATTAAAATTTTTTTTATTTTTTTTATATTTGAATTCGACTTGATTCGATATTGTATAAATTGTATCCTATTCGATTCGACTCGAAATTAATAAAATATTATTTTTTAAAAATATAAAATATTATTTTTTAAATATATATAATTAAAAAATTAAAAAATAATTTTTTATATAATATTAGATCGGGTCTGGTCAGGTTTACCTAAAATTCGAACCCGACCCGAAATTCAATTTTCAAAAAAAAAAAAATTAACCCTATAAGGTTAGGTCGCGTGGAACCTACTGAGAACAGATTGGATTGTCGACCTTAAATGTGTTTTCTTTCAGCTCAAAAATATTTTACTTACTCTTTTTATGATATGTGATAACCATATTTTTCCACCTCCCAACAATTAATAAGCAAAGAAAAAAACAGGGAGATTCTGCAACATAGATAACAATTTAGGAAATAACAACCAATGGTTTGTGTAGGAAAAAGGGAAAAAAAAAACAAAAGTAAGGGATGGAAAGATTTTTTTTCCTTTTTTTCTTCGTAAGAGAGATATAAAAAGATGAAAAAAATGTAATTTTTTAATTGAAATTCGTAAAATTTTTTATTAATAATGATTAAATAAAAATTAAAATCAAAAATCAAAATATATAAATTTAAAAAATTGTTACATATATCAATTGCGTAAATTTTTTTTAAAAAATTAATACATTTTTAAAAATTTTAATAAATTTTGATATATTTTTTTAATGCACATTTTTAGTAAAAATGTTGACAAAATTTTTATCATTAAATAAATATATATATCAAATTTGAATTATAAATGATATTTTAAATAATTTTTTTACATATTATTAATCTTTATATTGAACTTGATCAATCTATGAATTTGAATTTTTTAATAAAATTTTCATCAAATAATTTTTAAGAATAAACTTCACAAATTTCACTTAAATTTTATATTTCTAATCATTGCTAGTGAAGTTTTTAAATTAACTAATATTGGTCCTTGACTTCACCTAATGAGTTAAATTAATTTTAGTACTTTATTAAATTAATATTTGATTGAATTAGAATTTATAATAATGTGTACAATTTATCTAAAGTCTTAATTTAATATAAAGCTAATATTGTTAAGTACACAAATGTTTGTTAAACCAATTAACAAAAGAAAGTTATTATAAAACTAAATAGAAAATGTTAGATGTGCATTTTAAAGTTACAAAGTTCCTAAAAAGAATAGTTGTTAAATAGAAACTGTAATCAAACACTTAGTTTGTAACTATAACTAATTATTGAGAAATTTATTCATAGTTAGGATAGATAACTACTATAAAGGTTATATCACCCTCACAACACCCATCCAAAAGATGCTAGTCTGATTTTAAGTCATCCAAGTCTTAAAATATATTTAAAATTTATCAAATAATTTAATATTGAAAAATTTTCTTAAATTACTCTTATATGTTGGTAATAACTTAAGAATATTTTTTCACCTCAAGAGCATTTAAATAAAGTATTTGTCACACTTTAAAGAGGTTTTGTCGTCGGATTCACTTAATTTTACTTTCAAAAATAAATACCTATAAACTAGGTTTATAGTCAAAAATATTCTCCAATCTATTGGTAAAACTTTCTATTAAAAATTATCCTCCAATCTGTTGGTAGGATTTTATGCAAAAAGATAAGAAATATTTTTT